GTAGTCGTAGTCGTAGCAGCAGCAGCAGCAGCAGTAAGCGGACTAACAGGAGGAGTAGAAATAGGTTCAGACGAGTTCCTGCTTGACACTGCCGCGCAACGAAAGCATGACCCTAGTGCACGGACCAGTCAAGTCCAGTGCTGCCGCTGTCTGCCGCTTAATATCATGTAGGGCTCTTAGAAATTGCAGTAGGGCTTCAGGTATGTTATTGTCTAAGTATGAAGGCACTGTCAGGGAAAAGTCCAGCTATGACCGAATGCTCAGGCCTCCCTTTCCCCTTTCCCTTATCGCCTCGAAGACACCCTTGTACACCTGGGCTATGCATAGGCCAGGAACCGAGGGGCCCTAAACCTAAACCTATAAAAACCCCCCAGGCCCTAAACCGAAACTCCAAACCTCCTGGAAGCCCCGATTTGCGTAGTGGTCAAAATTATGGTCCCTTCTGGGGTACCCTAAATGATAGGTGCCGTATTATAATAAGGACCCAAAAAAGGGAGCATAATTTTGACAACCACCCATTTGTAACCCTCAACCTCAGCCCCACGCCTTGCCGTGGTGATGCCGGCAGACTGGGCAAAAGGGCGGGTGATTTCAGGCTTCAGACCTTCAACGCTTTTTAGAGTTTACCAATAAGCGTTCAGGGTGAAGAAAACCATGGGCTTCGGTATCGAGAATTTAGGGCTTCAGGGCGCTTACGCTTTCAGGCTTCGGGGCTAGGGGTGTGAAGTTTACATGGTGTGGTTCTCCGGCTTTGGGCTTTCAAGTTTAAGGTTTAGGGTTTAGGGGTTTAGGTTTTAGGGTCTATCGAAATCTGTGGGCTGAAGGGTTTGAGCCTTCGCAGCGCACCGGACTTGCAAAGAAAGACACAGTTGCCGCACAAGTGCCTGGCCTCAGGAGAGGTGTGCAAAAAGCCTATTCAATTCCTGCCGTGAACCCTAAACCCCTAACCCCTAGACCCTAAACCCCTAAACCCCTAAACCCTAAACCCTGAATCCTAAACCCTGATTTAATTCTGCCGTGAACCCTACTTAAAGGATCATGGGACTTAGTAAGTAGGGTTATAATTAGGGGAACTATACTTATAACCCCAATTAAGGGACTTATAACCTTAGTTACTAAGTCCCATGATCCTCCAAGTAAGCCACGAGGCCGTGAGCCTCCAGCGCCTCCACCATGGAAGCCCGTCGCCTTGCATAGTCCTCGGGCTTCCCAGAGACTCCAATATCCGTGGATTAAGGAATATGCCTTAAATTATATTGGGGTCCCTAATATGATTTAAGGTATATTCCATAATTACTTGAAGGATCATGGGACTTAGTAAGTAGGGTTATAATAAGGGTAACTATACTTATAACCCCAACTAAGGGACTTATAACCTTACTTACTAAGTCCCATGATCCTCCAAGTATACCTTAAATTATATTGGGGTCCCTAATATGATTTAAGGTATATTCCATAATTAAGGGATATTGGAGTCTCTGGGTTGGCAGAAACGGAAAGAAAGGCGCTCGGATCCAGCAACTGGTTCAGGTTTAGGGTTTAGGGT